ATTTTCTTCTTTCTATGTATTTCTTTCTCCTGATGAGGAGGGACCTTTAGCTGCCCTCGAAATCGATTTAGTGTTTCATTATACCTACGCTAAATATAAGGTTGTTTTTTACGATTTTGATTGTCACATTAGCGTGTTTCTCTTCTAGTCTGGGGTGTTCTTTGTTTACATTCAGAAGCTCGTTTGACAAGATTCTGATAGTATTTCGACACACGACAGTTCCATAGAAATCGAAAAAGGGACACTCTCGCATGAAAGAAACATTCATAGTGTGATGGATAATAGCAATTTGTATAGTTTACTAACATTTACGCAAAAATCACATCTTGGTTATTCTTCGATAACTAACAACAGCGATTTTGATTATGAATTTGTTTTATAAAATTCTAAGCAGTTGCACTACAAAAATATAGATTTTAAGAAAATTGCTAAAAGAGATCTGCCAAAATTTATTTTCTAGAAGATTTGAAAAGTTTGAAACTTGATGACTAAATGTAAATATAAAATTATGTATGTTAAAATATTTGTAATAAGGCACATAGGTCAGATTAAGTTTTTATTAAATAGAGTAACACATGCTAGGGCTATCTGCCTAAAGAGAGAGATGCCATCGTGGAGGAATTTTGAAGAAAAACTGACCTCTGAGTGGGTATTAAAAATAATACTTATAATTTTCATTCAAATTATATTCATATGTATTTTTTATGTAAAACTTTCGGGTGTATGCTAAATTAGTGTGTAAATTACTTTACACGAAAAATATAGTGAATGCACAGAAATTAAAGATTTGCACATGCCGGAAATGATAAATAGGAAATATGTATGGGTATTTATGCATGTGCTTGCAAAAAGCATGTATCTGCCTTTGACAAAATACTTAAATATTCATTTAATTATTTATAAATGTATTTGAAATGAAGAATTTATTCACTTATAAACAACTGTGAAAGTACTGTGAAGAAATTTAATGATTAAATGTATCTAATTTATAATGATTATAAATGTTATCTAAATATATAATAACCTTAATATTGAATTGTAAACATAAATTGAAATCCTGTTGACAAATACGTTATAAAACTATTTAAGCAAGAATTGTTCGTATTGGAAAGCAATCTGTTAAAAGGTATTGTAAAGCAAATGCTATGAGATGCGCACTTAAGAACGTAATAAAGAGTTTTGGAATATGTATTGTTGAAATGAAGGGTAAAAAAAAAAAAAAAAAAAAAAAAAAAAAAATCTGATAAGTATAATTAAAAGAATTATTCCCTTTACATTTTATAATAACTCAGTTACAAGTTTTAAATAATACTTAAAAAAAACACTTATTTTATTCCCTTTCAGAAATGTTCAGAGAAAGTCAAATACTATTTAATACCTATTTAATTTTCGCTAATTCCTAATAATTCTCTAATTTAAAATGAACCGAATAGAGCATTAATTATAAAATGACTTACATTTTTCGATTTAAAAGAAGCCAAAAAATAATGTCATATTTAAGAAAGTATTTTAAGAAGCTCTATAAATAATGCATAATTTTAATATTAATAATACAATAAACTTTGATCTTAATTTTTGTACCTTAACCGAATAAAATCGAATTACCTTAATTTTTTTTAATGTAATTAACGAAAACTTGTGAAAATATTTCATTCAAATTAAACCATTCTGAGAAAACTGTCCTGTGAAAAGTATAGCATTTAATTCCGTTCAGAATGAAATGTTGTTTAAAAATATGTTGTTTTCACATACTTAGGACTCTGAAGTGTTGTAGAAAAAGAAAATATATACATTTATATGTATATTTGCGACGTAATTACAAAATATTTACACCCGAACGCGTCAAATCCCATAGAACTCAATGGTAAATGACCCAATGTTTTGGTCACCACGTAGGGATCGCCGGTGCTTCAGAGCAGGGTACGGAGAAACTTGTTTAGGGCGACTCCATCTTACTTCCTACCTCCATGGTGACAGCAGTTTTCGCTCCGTTTCGTGTCAAACAACGCAAATTTACTGTCTTGGTAGCAGAACATGTTTGGAACCAGACTGACCAAACAAGTTTGCTAAGCCAAAGAACGTTCTTTGGCTAAGCGCCATTTCAAGCGAGGACAGTCGTAACAATGGATACAGCTCCTTTGCCAAAAGTAAGTTCGCTTTTAAAATATATATACAATTATTTCTTAATATAAATATCTTAATTATTATAAATTATAGTTAGTTTATGTGTCAAAATTTAAGTATGTAATAAAAAGTAGTTTTAGTTTGCTCTTTTTTTTTAGGTGTCTGTAAATTTGCTTTAAGAGTGTAATGCTGTAACGTAGTTTTATTTATTACGTAATGCTAACACAATGAAAGCTGTACGTATGGATGGTACTTTTTGTAAATAATTCTTAACATTATTTTTATTTTTGAACAATTTACACAAAGCTATCGAATTTAATTATTTAAATTTAGTTTTGCATGCATTCCTATTTTAAATAGGAAGAACAGCGGTGGAAAAAAAAAAATGCATACTAAAGTTTTGATTTTTTTTAATAACACAAGTGTGTAAATTATTTGGTAGTATTGGAAGAAATAAAAACCGTATACTTTACTGAATTTCCTATTAAAATCATATCGTTTTCAGCTTCTAGTAGTTTTTAATAGATTTTTAACTTTCATTTTTTATAAATTCTGCTTATAGTTTGTGACAATAAAATTCACTTACTGTTGCAAAGCTGAATTTTTCCAAAATATAAATACTAGCACTACCTGAGTCATATCAACATTCTAAAACTTATATTTTTGCAAATATGTTGTTATTCTCGAGAGTGTAGGTGTAGCTAAGGCCTCTTGAACATTCAGAAGTCCGGGAGGCCAATAAAGCTGCTAAGACGGCTTTCCGTTTACGATTTTAAAAAAATCTTGCATTCTTTAAAAAAGACTGAAAGCTTCAGATTTTAAATTACGTCCAAAGGGGCGTTTTTTTTAACATTTTGTGTGTTACCTTTATTTATAAAATATCATGTTCTTCGCAGTTAAACCATAAAAACATTCAACAGCAATATCGCAAAATAATTTTAAAATGAACATATCTTTAGAATTTCCAATACTCTCGCGAGCTGGAGATTTTTTTTTTTTTTTTTTTTTTTTTTTACTCGTACAGTCTTGCCATTGCTCGCTTTGAAATCGTTTACTTTGTTAATCAAAAATTCGTTGAAGTATTAGAAAATATTAAATAATAAAGCAAATAATAAAACCAATTTCAAATTCCAATTAGGGCTTCCACATGCCCATATTCTATGGAAGATTACCTTATTCAAATTTTGTTGGCTCTAGGTACCGTTGTTTTATTGCAATACGAGAAACATACATACATTCATGCAGATTCTTCATTATTTAATTTCTTTAAATATAATGTTTGGTGGCAGCAATTTGAAATGAAACATATCGGGAATATGCAAAATGCAAAATATATGCAAAATGCCAAAACGAAATTAACAATCCTTCTGGGAGAATTGTCCCTTTGGACTAAAAAAAAAAACCTTGTCCATTCTGCATAGGTTCCATATTCCTAATACTTGTGCCACAGCAAATTGTCAAATTTATCTTCCCCTTGTCTTTCTTTTAAACTGTAGCACAATAAAATACTTTTTTTTTTCAGGAGGCATTACATGATAGTTCAAAATTATCAGATTTTTATAACTGCAAGAAGTTCCCGAAGATGCTGATGCTGTTAATGTCCTAAAAGGTAATTTTATTTTCTACTCTGTTTTAAATTAAAAACTATACCTAGTCCGGATTTTTGAAAATTCCAGATATTCAGTTGACTTTATATGCTATATACATGTATTTATTTTATGCTAAATATGTATTTACTGACAAATATACGTATATGCCAATATATAATATGTACATCAAATGTTTATTTCTTTTAATGCAAATAAGAAAATTAAAAAAACAGTATTTATTTTTAAAAAATGTAAGGCATGTTTTTTTCAGACTTAATTAAATAGTAAAATTCGTACATGTCTAAACATTTTTATTTCAACTGAAACAAAACGACTTTTTTATATGTAAGCCATAAAACCTAAATGTTTGATGCATTTTTATTTTATAATATGAAAATTAAGCAATATTGCCTTATATTTGTGGCAGCGCCTATCATATTTAAAAAATTAACTTATTTTATTAACAGATAATAGAATGCACAATTAAAAAACAGCTTCCCCTCCCTTCTATTGCGGGAGAAAACCTAATTCGACGGGTTATTTTTATTTATTTATTTCCCCTTCTAAGAAAACTTGTCAGGCATACTTTCAAAATTGTCGAAATATATACTAATTTAAACATGATAATTCTGAAATGATTCATAGATAAATTCATATACATCAAACTCAATAGTTAGAAAGTTAAACTAATGACATTTACTTATTACTTTTCAAGATTATTGCCTTTTCATTTCAATTAGTTATTATATCTTCTCCTAGTGATATTAAAATGAGTGAGAGGATCTGATGAAGTAATGTTCAAAATAATATAATTGTTTACATTAGCAAAAGCTATTGTTGTATCAAACAAGTCTTATAAACCTTTTCGGTACTTTTCCGTTATGCCGGCGCAAGCGATAAAGTCGCCAATAATGGTACAACCGATTCCAAACGAAATATTCTCGCTGGTAACCTTTTACGCCTCATTTTAGAAACAAGTCGCAGCTTTTTCTTATCAGATTGATTGTTTCTTTCAATACTGGTATATTACATAGGATTTTTATCAGATAGTACAGTTTTATGTCTAAGGCCATTTTCGGTAATTAAGTCAAATAGGATGCAATCACAGCGCTTACCCGAAGCCGAAAATATAGAAAAGGTAAAGTCAAGGCTTAAATTCATCCATTCTAATGAGAATGCATTAGCGGCGAATTCAGTCATGCAATCTGCCTTAAAAAGTTGATGAGGACAATAAATATCATAAAATCACTTAGCAAAATACTAAAAGAGAAGTAAAACAGTACTTACAACCCTAATTAAAGCAAATATATTCAATTTAATCGCACATAAGCTCCAAACAGGTAAGGCTGCAACTGATCAGCAATTATGTTCAGAGAGCCCTCGTTTTTCATGGTCTGTTCTATCAATTAAGGGTCTCAGAGCCGTCCCTAAGAACATCCCCCAAAGCATAATACTCGCTACTACCACCCGCCTGTGTATGACCTGCTGTACAGGGAAGGGGGCAGCGAATGCACGCCTGGAAGACGGCATATCCTGACTAGAGCATCGACATGATAAATGAGAAATCCTGACAGGCAGCTGTCTTCCACTTATCCATTGTCTAATCTTGTTATTCCCGGTCCTATTGTAAGCGTAGTTGGCAATGACGCTTAATCAACAGAGACAGACGAGTGGGACGTCTGTTGCGCCGTCCAGTAATGTCCGCTGAACTGTGTCTTCCGACACACATGTACTTGAAATTATGTGGTATTAAAGTGTAAGCTGAGCCACTGCCTGGCGTCGAAAGCGAGAAAGTCTTAGAAGACCTTTTTTTTTATCCAACACATTGACGTCTACTGCTGGTTTCGCCTTCATTTATCAACTACGCATAACGCACTAACAATGGCTAATCGTAAACAACCTACCAAGTCGTGCAGATTCGGAGATACTCGTTCCTAATCTTCGACAATCACAATATGCCCTCTGTCAAATTCGCTTAGAGCCCATTACTCGCAAGTAAGCGAGATATACCATTCAAATTCAATCACCTGCGTCATCCAGAGAAGTTCATTGAAAAACGTGGGGATGGTCATAATGTTTTGGCTCGTCAATGTACTTATAGCTGAAAGCATCTCTTACCAAAAGTGCTACGATTAAAGTGGAAATAATTTGCGTTTAATCGCCAGAAAAGAATTTGAAAAGGCTTTAAGTGAGCTTAATCTGCTTTTCAAGGAGGTTAAAAAGCTCTTTCTCTCGTTTTACGACAGATAAAACAGGAAAATAAAACTCTCGCAAAATTACGAACATAGTATTGCAAAATTATGAAGCAATTTTGTAGATTCGTAATAAAACTTTTTCCATCTAACGCAACCGATACAATTTGTTAAAGAAGACATCAAATAATCTAAAATTCTTTCATCATACAGTGGCATAGATTACTTTTTATACACGTGCATTGCCCAACCGGAATTGTGATTTGCGACGCTGACTGCTGTTTCGAAGGCATGGATGTTTGTAAATGTATAGTGTCTGTGTGGTATGGGACACTTTAAATATGTCTTCTAGAGAGGTTGCTGGTAGAAGGCTCTCAGACCCGTTCCTGCCCAATCGGAGGCAGAACTGAGCAAAGTCATAGTGTCACTTGTATTGTGTTAAAGGCTATTGCCAAAGGAATAGCCTTTAACACAATACAAGTGACACTATGACTTGCGCTCCTTGCCACGATGAATTTTGTCAGCTTGTTCTGATATTACTGCCAGAGAAGTGAGATAAGTCAGAATAACAGCAATAATAACAACAACATAGATGTGCTCAACCTGTATGAAAAATCAACAATAAATCGACGGTGAAAATCCAGTGGCGTAGCGAGGGGGCGGTGCAAGGGAATGTATGATGCCCCGGGCGCCGCTCGCAAGGGGGCGCCAAATGGTCTCCAAACAAGATTTTCCGGAAAATTTCAATTTTTATTTTGATAGATTTCTGGAAAATGTATTTAAAATTAATAATCACTGTAATACAATTAATTATTTATTTCCTTGTATTGCCTGATAAAATGTTTGCAGTACATCAACCAAATATCTCCGTATACAAAACATTCCTTCTGACCACTTTATTTCTCTAAAATAGAGATATATTTTTATATTTTTAAAGGAAATGCAGGTATAGCTCCCGGTTTTTATTTTAAAACGATAACACGACCTTGTCCCGAATTTCTCAAACATATCCATTTTCCAGAAACCGATTCCATGGTCTGAAAATTACATTTTTGGAAACTCCTAACGCTTCCGCTACAAAGGATTGCGTTTCACTCTCCTTTAAACGACTGATGGCCTTCCTGGTTACCGATTCAACTAAGTCATCTTACTGAGACATCAAATATTCATTGCTACAAAGCATTCAACGCGTGTCAATTGTTTTTAATCTGCTACAACAAAAGGAATGCTGCAGGCCGCTCCTTACTCCTTATCTAAAACGCATAGTTTTCGACGTCACAAACTAAATTTACATATTCCCCATTTTATAAACATTATAATTTTCCTTTATAATCTCTTCTATTTCCTTTTCTGAAATAGATTGTTGATTTTATGGTTATTTCATACCGAACCACAATATTCCCTAATTGTTTTGAGCAGTGAATGTGACTGCAAGATGTTCTAAAACACCATTACAGATCTATAGAGAAAATGTTTTTCTAAACCTAAGAGTCACACTTCAAATATTCCTAACTATTGCATTATCAAATGCTAGCTATGAACGTTCGTTCAGCAAATTAAAATTAATTTTGACATATTTACAATCAACGATGGGACAAGATCCCCTAAGTCATCTGGCATTTTTGAATGTGGAAAGAGAAGAATTTGAAAGGATCGACTTTGATGAAGTAATTGATAAATTTGCTTCATCCAAGGCAAGAAAAATGTATACATAGTAATTAATTATATTAATGTATTATAACATTGTATTATTATTAAAAATATATCTACTTATCTATAATATAAAATTTTAATTGTTTAAAAACTGTACTTTTTTAAAAACAATTATAAAAATATGTAAAATAAATAATACTTTTTTAACTAATTCTAGATCATCGTAAGTCTGATTTTTCCGCCGATACAGATACATTTCAGAATCCAATGCTAGTGTGGTTAGGTAGTGACTATTCTTAATATATTTTAGAGTATTTTATGGCAGATTCAGCATTTTAATATTATTTGCATTATTTTTATTACGAATATATTCTACACATTATATTTCTATCAGTGTTTTTTTTGTGGGGGGGGGCGCCAAAAAGGTATTTTGCCCCGGGCGCCAGTTATGCTTGCTACGCCACTGTGAAAATCTTATTTATACTTCGAAACCAAGCCTGCTGAAAGCCTGCAGCACAAGTTTAGGCAGCATCCAATTCCATATTCTAGTGACCAGCATGATCCGTTATAAACTTTCTCGTCATCGTATGATCATAACTGGCATAACATTTCCGAAAAATGAAGTCCTACGAGAGCGTTTATCTTTTTATTGGGAGCAGGTAAACTTTCTTGCGGAGCTGATAAATTAGTTTTATCGCTGAAGTATTTCCTTCAGTTAATAAAAAATATGGAAGAAGTAAAAAATAGTAGCCATTATTTCGAATCATAAAGCTTTTTCTTTTCTAATTCCGAAACAAGTGCAAAAAAAGAACTAAAAGTTTTTACTGCAGGTATTGATAATTTAATGCAGTTTAACCTTAAAATTAATTAAATTAACAAATCATTGACGCTTGTTTAGGACATTTCTGAATGGTATAAAACAAAAATTTAAAATCGAAATTACATTTTTAGCTTCATGATAACGCAGTTTCAGGGATTTTCCTTTTTGACCACGGAATGTGTAGTGGTGTCATCTACATTTAAATCTTGTAACTAATACTTCAAACATATTCCATACTTATATCTTCCATATTTATTATTTTAGTATTCCCTGTTGTTCAACTTACATTTTTTAAAGAAAAAGTAAAAATATAGTTTTTGGGCTTTATGCTTTAAAATAAAAAAATGCAAAATTATCTATTACCTTTTTTTACTTAGAATATTTTAAAATAGTTCTATCAATTGCCAAGCGATGTCGCCACTGTTGTGACATGGTGAATGTTACTGAGAGGAGAGAGGAATGATTTACTCGACGTATTTTACTCTTAGGGCCGGTTCAAAATACCTTAGGAAAAACCTTGTTTAAATCTGGACTAAGAAGTCCAGATTTAAACAAGAATGGATATTTAATAACGTAAATAAATAATTTTTGGTAACGTCAGAACCCTGAGATTAACCATAATAATAAATGAGAATAAAATCATATAAATCTTAAACGTTTTATAGAAGTTTTATATAATCTACACGTCAGAAAGCAAGAACTAGTGATCCAAATGTTTTCGATGCTCCAAATCTTCAATTTTTCCCAAAAGTTCGATGCCCAAATCTTCGATTTGCTGAACCGCAAAATCACTACATCGAAATACGCCATAGACAGAAACAGTTCATGGATGGGCATTAAGTTATTATATTACAGGATCCGCCCAACCGGGATAGTGGTTAGTGACTGACTGTCACGCCGAAGAATAAGGTTCGATTCCCGGATAAGGCGTGGATGTTTATAAATGAATAGTGTTTGTGTGGCATGGTGGTACTCGATCGAACTGCCAGCTTTCAGCGACTTTACCGCTCGGCTGCAAGTGGGCATTAAGTGTGTAGGAGAAATAAGATGTGTATAATTTAAAAATAAAAGTGCTAAAAAGGAAGAACGTTTAGACAAAAGAGTTACCATCACACTTCTGGCCGAGTGCCCGAGCTGGAGCTCAATTGAAATGCAATGATTGCTGAAATGCTTTCTCGTGCTTTTCTCTTTTCTCAAAAAATATTGTATTCCAATCCACTGCCCAATGAATTAATGTTTTATCAAAATCTTTAAGGACAGTATTGAAACATATACGTGACTTAAATGTACTGGCGGGCCGCATAAATTTCCTTCAGGGGCAGCATGCGACCCGCAGGCAGCCAATTTGAAGCTATACAAGTATATTTATATTTGCAATTTGCATAAATTATACAAAGCATATTTGACTTGTTTAATAATTAAAATATTTTGGAATTGGAGCTTGAAATAATAGACAATGTTTTTTTGTAATAATTTTTTTTTTTTTTTTTTCGGGCTGCGGACATAAACACTGCATAAAAATAAGCAGCAAGAAACAAGCTGCTAGAAACAGAAGAAATGTCTAGCAGAAGCGCGACGAAATGTGAATGAAATGCGAGTAAAACATCGAAAGATTCCCAGTCAGCAGAAAGAAAAGAACAACGACGCATTTTTTTTTTTTTTTTTTTTTTTTCTCTCTCCTCGGAAGAAAAAATTAAACGCGGAGTGTGTCTGTACACATGCTGCCCATTAAAAAACTTTCTTTATATAAAATATGATGCGTAAATCTCTACATATTATAAAAGAAAGTGGTGTATGTGTGTGTGTCTTTCGTTTGCGCTGAGCGTAAGCTAATAGACCCACGACTACGAAATTTGGTACATAGGTGCATCTAGACAAGAGCCAGTGCACCTCGAAGCGATTTTTTCGAAATTCGAATTCGAATTATTATTATTATTATTTTTTTATTTTATTTTATGTTTTGTGACGAAATCGCGTTATTTTGAGACATAATGGGCTATAGGAACCCGAGATTTTACTCTACACACTCCATTTTTACATCGTCATGAAACATAGGCATTTAGTTATTTTACGATTTTAAAATAAATTTCGTGTTTCAATAAATCGATTAAATTTGAATTTATTTAACAAAGGGAGCTTAACATCTTTTCAACGGGATTTTTTCAAAAAAACGTTTATTTTGAAAAATGTACAGTTTATTTTTCTTTGATTTTTGGAAACGTTAAACTTTCATTTTGTTATATAATACATTTTTATTGATTTTTTTTTTTTTTTTTTTTTTTTTTTTTTTTTTTTTGATAAAGTTGTTTTGTACAGTAAAATTCTGCGCGGAATTTTAAGTTTTTTGAGTTGCTTTCATGTTATTTTTTGCTTATTTCACTGTTTGTAAGATATTGAAAATTTTGCATGATTTTTTTTCTTCA